TTTGAATTCCTAAAGATGTTGGAGGTCCATTTTCTTCTCTTGTCTACTCACTCAAATTGAGCCTGACTCACACAGAAACTGGGTGATTCCACTCTCTTGGAATATAGTCCAAACACCCCTTCTGACTGATATGGTCCATCCCTAGCTAATCAACTTTACCTTCCACCATTCCTCAACATGTGCCCTACACTCAAGCTAGGTTCCTTGTTGTGTACTTTTTATCTTTTTCTTCTAAATTTTATTTATTTTGTTGTTATTGTTGAGAAGATACACAGCAAAACGTACACCAATTCAACAGTTTCTACATGTACAATTTAGTGACATTGACTACATTTTTCGAGTTGAGCAACCATTCTCACCCTCCTTTTCTGAGTTGTTCCTCTCTTATTAACATAAACTCACTGCCCCCTAAGTTTCCTGTCTAATCTTTTGAGTTGCTGTTGTCAATTTGATCCCATACAGACAGTTCTTAAAAGAGCATAATGATCAAGGCAGACCTTTTTTTACTAGTTAAGCTAAACAATTGTTGGGTTTTAAGATGACTGCAGGGGATATTTTTGGTTTAAGTTTTAAAGATTATCTTAGAGCAATAATTTCAAGGGTTCATCCACCCTCCATGGCTCCAGAAAGTCTAGAGTCCATGAAAATTTTAAATTATGTTCTGCATTTTCCCCCTTTTGATCAGGATTCTTCTATGGAATGTTTGATCAAAATGTTCAGTAATGGTAGCTGGGCACCATCCAGTTCTTCTGGTTTTGTGGCAAAGGAGGCAGTTGTTCATGGAGGCAATTAGGCACACATTCCATATCTTCCTCCTGTTCCTGGCTCTCCTTCCCTATGACCATATTCTTGGTGGTATAAGAAAACACTTTGCTTATTTTATTAAAAAAATTCACTTTGTAATATTTCAGAGAACTACCCCTTTCTCATTATTTTAAAACAATTGTCTGACTGTAACATCCACAGCAGCTAATAATTAAGATAGTAAACAAAAGATAGTATAGGAGACTTTTGCTTATATTTCAGAATATGTGTGAAATAAAACATTAGCATGGCGGTGGAAAGCAGAAGACAAAGTCTTTCCTTCCAGAGTAATTCAGGAAACTTAGACCTAGGAGTGGGATTTACAGAGCCCAGAAGTGGTCTGAGCTCTTGTTGCTGATCAACAGAGGACTTGCTGGGTACCTGGCCAGGAAGGGAGGGCGTCTCTCCTGTCTTTCCTTCTTTATTTCAGGAGGATGTCTCCTTGCCAAGGCTCCCTCTCTTTCCTGCCTGGCACCATTATCATCTGCTACTCTTCCTCACTTCACTCTAGCTCTCTATCTGGTCTTCTCGTGTTAATCTTAGTCTTCCTCCGAGCCAGCTCTTCCTCTACTGGGGAGGAATCGGAGGCCGAGTTAACCACAAATCTGACTAGGGGGCAAAACTCTGAATGACTGAAATCTTTGCTGTTCTGTGAATGTAGAATGGGAGAAACTCATATGTGGACCCCCAACAACACCTCGTGTATTAAGGATCAAAAAAGAAACCAAATCCATTGCCGTTGAGTTGATTCCAACTCATGGCAACCCCATATGTTACAAAATAGAACTGGTCCATAGGATTTTCTTGGCTATAATCTTTATGGAAGCAGATTGCCAGGACTTTCTTCAGTGGTGCCACTGGGTGGGTTTGAACTGCCAACTTTTAGGTTAGTAGATGAGCGCAAACCATTTGTGCCATTCAGGGACCTTGTATTAGGTACCAAGACCCAAACCCAAACCCACTGCCGTTGAGTCTATTCTGACTCATAGGGACCTTATAGGACAGAGTGGAACTGTCCCATAAGGGTTCCAAGGAGTGGCTGGTGGATTGGATCTGCTGACCTTTTGGTTAGAAGCTGTAGCTCTCAACCACTGTGTCACCAGTGCTCCATATTAAATACAGGTGACAAAAAAGCACCAAGCTGATTTACAGAGTTTGTGTTTACTTTCTCAATCATGTTTATTCTTAATTTATACGATTTTCTATAGGCAATAAACCTGACTTTAAACATTAGCTTAAGGAATGTGCCCAGGGGCAAGACAGCAGAGTTAATGTGGGAAGCAGGGTCGATGTGGGGCTTCAGAATCTGCAGAGTGCAAGCTCCCCACCCCACCCTAGAGGCATTCAAGAGTTTGAATGTTTCAAAACACTGTGCCAGCTAAACAGAAGGGCACTGCCCCCAGGCCCCTGCAGGGAATCATACTTTTAACTACCAGTTGTTGTGGAGTTGACTCCGACTCATGGTAACCCCATGTGTGTCAGAGGAGAACTGTGTTCCATAGGGTTTTCAGAGGCTGATTTTTCAGAAGCAGATGGAAGGCTTTTCTTCTTGAAACTTTTGGTTAGCAGCTGAGCACATTAACCGCTTGTATCAGAATTTTAATCTATCTGAAATTGGTTTGTGTCTTGTAATCAATTGTGCTTCATAGTTTAAGTGACACTATGTTTTTCTTATGGGGCCCTGCTGGCGCAGTGGTTAAGATCTACAGCAAGCTACGGCTGCTAACCAAAAGGCTGGCAGTTTGAATCCACCAGGTGCTCCTTGGAAACCCTATGGGGCAGTTCTACTCTGTCCTGTAGGGTTGCTATGAGTCGGAATCGACTCGACGGCAACAGGTGTGTGTATGTTTTTCTTTTTCAGTGGCACATAAAGTAATGGTGAGTGTCGACGAGATGGTTAGATTAGACGAAATCTAGTAAGGAGGCTAATAGATGTCTCTTTGTTCCAAGAACAGAGGAAGAGGGAGCCCTCCACATGGTCCATGCAATCAGTCTCCACAAGACTCTTAATAAACAGAGTCCATGTGGATGTAAACCCTGAGAGCCAGGGGGCAGGGCAGGGATGAGATCCCAAGCACCCTTTACCTTCAGGTAAAATCAATTCATGTCACTCTCTGCATTCATAAACTGAGAAAAAAATCCCACTGCCATTGAGTCAACTCGACTCATGACAGCTCCATGAGTAGAACTGTGCCCCCAGGGTTTTCAGTGGTGGTGATCTTTATGGAAGCAGATCTCCAGGCCTCCCACCTTTTGGTTAGTAGCCAATAACAAACAATTTTCACTACCCAGGAACCTTCTGTAGCCATGCTTTTGTTGTTACATGCCATGGAATGAGTTCTGACTCATAGCTACCCCATGTACAACAGAATGAAACACTGCCCAGTCTTGCACCATCCTCACAATTGTTGCTATGCTTGAGCCCATTGTTGCAGCCACTGTGTCAATCCATCTCATTGAGGGTCTTCCTCTCTTTCACTGACCCTCTGCTTTACCAACCATGATATCCACAGGGAGTTATAAATCAAAGTGGAGGAGATAGAAATTTGTAGAGAGATTACTTTCCCACTAATGCTGTTCAGAAAGGGAATTGTCAGGCTTCAGGAAAACACAGGTTCTCTCAAAACCTCCAAATCTTTTCTCCTTCCCAGTATCATTGTTATGGATTGAATTGTCCCCTAAGAACATGTATTGGAATCCTAAGCCCTATACCTGTGGATGTAATCTTATTTGGGAATAGGGTTTTCTTTCTTATGTTAATGAGGCCAAAACAATGTAGGGTGTGTCTTAATACTAATGACTTTTGAGATATAAAAAGAGCAGGTTAGATACAGTGAGAAGCAATCACGAATGGGGGAAAGATAGATGCCATGTGAGACAGCCAAGGAACTGAGGAACCCTGGGATTATAGAAACTGAGACAAAGATTTTTGTCCCCTAGACTTCTTTACAGCCAGTGCCCTGAATATGGACTTCTAGCCTCCTGAACTGTGAGAAAATAAATTTCTGTTCATGTAAGCCACACATTTGTGCAATTTCTGTTACAGCAGCACTAGGAAAATAAGACAATCATCTTTTACTTTTAAGAAATACTTTTCCTCCCCTCACCCATATTGTTAAGCTTAAATTTAGCAGCAAAATAAGTTCTTGTTTTTTTTTTTCAGGTTTCAGAATACATTTAAATTGTTTTAAAACTAAACAGAGGTTTTTTAAAAAATTATAAGAGCGACTGAACTAAGCCAAGTTCTAGAATTTCAGCACATACATGTTTCATTTGTGCCAGCATCAGTTGGTGCTGTTACCATACAACAAAGGAATTTGGTTTGAGTCTTGATGCCCAGTGCTTTGTAAATGGGATCACTTCCTAATCCCACCCACCTTCCAGGTCATAGATGAACAGGTATAGGATAGAATTGTCACAGCTTCTGGCAAAATCCCAGTCCCAAGTGGTACCTTGGGTGCCCATTGCTGAACTTTCCAGGGTCCCCAACCCATTTCTCATCACCCCCACTCTCATTCCAGCATTTCTGCTGCACTTCTTTCCCGCTGTCAAAAGAACCCCCTATTTTAGCTGCTCAAACTCCCTTTACCAGTTTTAGAAAGATTTTAACTTCTAAGGTCTTGGCAGGGGTTATATTCAAAATGTCGAGCAGCACACATTACAAAGGCACTGACCAGTCAGAATGCACGTCGGTCATACCATGGGAAGAGGGTCCTGGGGGGACTACCCTTGCTCGGCCACACCCACTATTGGTCAATTATGGAAGCAGATTGCTAGGCCTTCCTTCCATGGCGCCCCTGGGTGGGTTTGAGCCACCAACCTTTCAGTTAGTAGATGAGCGCAAATCTTTTGTGCCACCTAGGGACCTAGGGTCCATGGTAGAGGGTGATACTGAACTATTCCTTCCTGAAATGCTTTTGTCTCCAATGAATGAACCTAAGACTCTCCTCCTTATTCTTGAGGCACATACTGAGCCATGTGGCCAGAGTCAACTCCTGTAGCATTTTCAGAAGGTGAGGGGGTAACAGATCTCCTTCTGCCAAGACTTTAAAAACAGACATGCTAAGGAAGAGGCTGACCTGTCCCCTTTGAGAATCTATCAGAACACCAGTATAGCTAATGGGTGATTCAAAACCATCTCACATCTGAGATAACCAAAAAATTCTTGGGATGGTGACTATAATGAAAATGTGTACCTGAAGCGTTAAACTCTCCGGCCAGTTGAATATTTGCAAATTGAAAATCTGTCCAAAGTGAACTCGGAAGTCTGCCCCTAGTGGCCGACTGACTGTCCTGGACACCTCCTTGTTGTTGAAGAGCACCTTCAAGTGCACCGAGCGCCTCTTTACATCCTCTCGTCTCAAGACCTCCACCCTGCAAGTGAGACACGGACAGGTGAGATTATAATTAATTTCCTGAAGATAACCGGAGTCTTGACAGATGGGGTCTGAATAGAACAAGATACCCTGGAGCAGACTGTTGGCCACTTTAGTCCTCACTGCTGACCACTGTAAACCAAAATAGCCACAGGTCTTACAGAATGTAATATAACAAAATGCCATGATATGGAACTTGTGGAGGAACCACTAGGAGGCACTGACAAAGCCATGGGAAATTTAAGAACTATGTTCTAAGCATCGCTGTTCTATGGTCTTCTTTATCTTTTTTTAAAGCCTTATATCTGCATCCTACACAAAGTTTTGAGTAAATAGAAACATATTTCTTGTTAAACAGAGTGAATTCAAACCATAAGGGACAGTAGCAATTTATATTTGGTAGGGCTTTTTATCCTAAAAATATAGTAGCATACTGTAGCAATGAGGTTAAGGCAATTTCTCCAAGACCCGAGGTCTTCCTTAACCACTTTCCAGCTGTGAGTGAACTGCTCAATGGACTCAGGGCATTAAGAAATGTTCCATATTATTAAAGGTCATTTGAATCACAATAAAAGCTACCCTGGCACCATGAGAGTTGAAACATACCATTCTTAAAATTCTTACAGCCAGGAAGTGAAAAACAAAAACAAACAAACAAAAAAAACCCACAGGAGTACAATCAAATTACTACCTTATATATTTGCAAAGATGCCTACCAAAAAACAAAAACAAAACAAACAAGCAAACAAACAAAAAATCCTGCAGTTATTGGTTAAGTCAATAAGCAATTAACGCTTGTTGAGAAAGGGAGCAGGTCAGGGCATCAAAATCCAAAATAAGCTCAAGTTTTTGTTGGTAGTTTTAATTTTTTGTTGTTGCTGTCGTCAGGTGGTGTTGAGTCGGTTCTGACTCAGAGCGACCTCACGTACAACAGAACGAAACACTGCCAGGTCCTGCACCATCATCACAATCCTTGCTATATCTGAGCCCATTGTTGGCAGCCACTCTGTCAGTCCACCTCGTTGAGGATCTTTTTCTCTTTCGATGACCATCTATTTACCAAGCATGATATCATTCTCCAGGAACTGGTCCCTCCTGATAACGTGTCCAAAGTACATGAAACAAAGTCTCGCTGTCCTTGCTGCTAAGAAGCATTCTGACTGTACTTCTTCCAAGACAGATTTGCTTGTTCTTCTGGCAGTCCATGGTGTATTCAATATTTTTCACCAACACCATAATTCAAAGGCATCAATTCTTTGGCCTTCCTTATTCATTGTCTAGCCTTCCTAAGCATATGAGCATATGAGGGGATTGGGTTAGGCATATCTTACTTCTCAAAGTGGCATCTTTGCTTTTGAACATTTTAAAGAAGTCTTTTGCAGCAGATTTGCTCGATACTTTGTTTGATTTCTTGACTGCTGCTTCCATGGGCATTGAATGTGGATTCAAGTAAAATGAAATCCTCAACAACTTCAATATTTTCTCTGTTTATCATGATGTTGCTTATTGGTCCAGTTGTAAGGATTTTTGTTGTGTTTATGTTGAGGTGTAATCCATAACAAAGGCTGTAGTCTTTGATCTTCATGACTTTCAGCAAGCAAGGTTGTGTCATCTGTACATCACAGGTTGTTAATGAGTCTTCCTCCAATCCTGGTGCCACATTCTCCTTCATATAATCCAGTTTCTTGGATTATTTGCTCAGCATAGAGATTGAATAAATATGGTGAAAGGATTCCACCCTGACACACAACTTTTCTGATTTTAAACCATGCAGTATCCCCTTGTTCTTTTTAAATCTCTATAAATTAGACCTATCTGAGGCGTAATTGCTCAAATGACTTGAACAATTTTTTCAATAAGGTACATTTAACACCAAATTGCAAGAAGTATCTGAGACACTCAAAGTGATAGAGTCCACTCAGAACTGTTGTAGGGACTATTCCCAGTAACCTCATGTAACAAACAGACCTGAAACACACCCTTTTTCTGCAGACCTGTAAACCCCTTGCAGTGGAGTCAATTCTGACTCACAGCAACCCTATAGGACAGAGTAGAATTGCCCCATAGCGTTTCTAAGGAGTGGCTGGTGGATTCAAACTGCCAACCTTTAGGTTAGCAGATGAGCTCTTAACCACTGGGCAACCAGCCCCCCTTTTACCTGATGGCTTGATGAAGAGGGGAGATTATTATCAATGGCTTGGTGGTAACCTGGGTTATAGTACCAAGTCCCAGTGAAAATTCAGAAACTTGTTACAACTGAAGTGTACATTCTCAGTCAAAATGAGATTCACCGTAAAATATTGTCATATCAAACCCAAATTTTCCCTTAAAAAAACATGTGTTGTAAACATTTATTTTAAATGTTTATGACAAAATCATGTAGTGTGGTTGTTATTTGTGGCTTGAAAATAGAAAATTTAGTACTGGAGAATCATTTATGAATAGTGTCTGACTGCTATGAAATTGAAAGAACACGTGAAAATGTACAAGAAGCTACAATTTAAAAAGAAATACATTAATAGTACATTAATAGAAAGTCCAAAACCAAGAAGGTTGACTGATGTGACCCATAAGGTTTTCATTGACTGATTTTTGGCAGTAGATCACCAGGCCTTTCTTCCTAGTCTCTCTTAGCCTGGAAGCTGACAGATGGGTGGTGGCTGCACATGAGGTGCACTGGCTGGAAAAAGCAGACGCATGGAAGGTGACAATTCTATAACTGAACCACTGATGCCTCATGACTGTTTTCATAGATTCCCTTGATTAGATTATGATATAGTTTAACCTGTATCAGAATCACTTGGAGACCTTCTGAAAATACAGTTTTCTGGGTCCCACCTCAGGGTTTCTGATTCATTAAGTCTGGGGTGGAGCATAATAATTTGCATTTCTAACAAGTTCCCAAATGATGTTGATACTGCTGGCCCTGGATCCACACTTTGAGAACTATTGCTATAACGTGTTGGAAGGAAATAAACAGATCCAATATATATTTTTTATTATATCATAATTTTAATAAGAAGATGAGCATATAAATGTGTGTTTATGAATTTATGGTATGTATAAATTTATAACCTATTGCTGTCAAGGGGTTTCCGACTCATGGTGATCCTGGACTACTAACCAAAATGTTGGTGGTTCAAACCAATCCAGAGGCATCTTGGAAGTAAGGCCTGGCGATCTGCTTCTGAAAAGTCACAGCCTTGAAAACCCTATGGAGTGCAATTCTACTCTGCACATTTGGGGCATTGAGTCGATGACAACTAATAGCAACAATAAATTTATAAAAATTAGGTTTCTGATTTTTTCTCTTAGGCATTACATAAGAATGACTAGGCATGTATTTTTTTTTTTTAAATCAGATCTGGAAGGTATGCTTGGGATGGCCTGACATAAAGTAGAAACTATAGTACATGCCCACAATTCCTGTTGGGAGGCACTACGAGGTCTTCAAAGAGAGAGGCTGCCCTCTGGAGCAGCTGAAATTAAGGGACTAGGAGAAGCCTGGGTGTCTGGGTCAGGGAGGAGGGACACACGGAGCTTTAGATAAGGGTTCCAAATCAAAAGCCACATGGGCAGCCTGTGAAAAGCAGACGTAGATTTGTAATCGAGACACTTCTTCGACCACAACTTTACATAGTGTGCTTCTGAGTAGTCACTGGGGATGAATGAGGTAGTTTCACCATATGAAATTGTCACAAATGGTCAAAGGCCAGCAATTTCATGTGGTTCAACCTAACACATATTGACAGGGAGTTAGTAATTGTCCTGATCATTCTGTGTAGGTCAGAAGACATAACTATACATGGTATATATCCGTGTGCACACGTGTGTGTATGTGTGAGATATCAAACTCATTTATGGTTGGAGCATCTGCTCACCTGGGACACTGGTCGTTGGGCGTCATGGTCCCCGCCAGGCTCAGCTCCGGGACCAGCATGGGCTCCCCAGGCTTCCTCCTGCTCTGGGCTGCTCTCTCCCTCACCTGCTGCTCTATCACTGCCCGATCAGTGAGCTCTGGAGGGACGGGTTTCACAGGATCCTCCCCGGGACACAGCTCCCCAGGACATGGCTCCTCGGTCTCCTCATCGGGATGTTCTTCTACTGCTTGTTTCTTTTTTTTCTTCTTGGCCCTCTGTTGTGTAAGGGGCAATGTTATATCAAACAAGAGTTTTGAAATTTTGGTTAAGAGCACAGTCTTCAGAACCAGATAAACCTGGATGCAAACCCCAGCTCGACCCCAACCAGCTATATGCACTCAGGCAGGTCACTAAGCCACTTGACCTCTCTGTGCCTCAGTTTTCTCATCTACACAATGGGGTCAATGACAGCAAACTCCACCCAGGGAGATTGAAATGAGGCAGTGCCTGTAAAGCAATTAGCACAGTGCCTGTTCCCTTGAAAGAGCTGTAAAAATGTTAGTGATTTGTGTGTCTTTAATATTGGTTCTGAAGGCCAAGAACACATCTTGGGAACACAGCTGGCATTGTAGATCATGCTGATCTAGTACTAGTTGCTCTTGGATTCAGTTTTGTAGGGCCATGTGTATAAAGTTACATAATTTTCAGAGGAAAATCCAGAAGTATAGTATCAATACTCTATATGCAAGGAGATAATGCATGTAAAATATTTAGCTTGACCTATAATAGGTGCAGAGTCCTGGTGGCGCAGAAGTTAAGAGCTCAGCTGCTAATGAAAAAGTCAGCAGTTTGAATCCACCAGCTGCTCACTGGAAACTGAGACAGTTGTACTCTGTCCTATAGGGTCGCTATGAGTTGGAATCAACTCGACAGCAATGGGTTTAGTTTTTTGGTTTGGATAATAGGTGCGGTGCAAACAGTTAATGTGTTAGGCTGCTAACCAAATGATTAGAGGTTTAAATCCACCCGTGGGTGCCTTAGAAAAAAGGTCGAGCAACCTACTTCTAAAAAATCGGCCATTGGAAACCCTATAGAGCATGGTTCTACTCTGACAAACACGGGTTGCTGTGAGTTGGAGTCGAATTGATACCAGTGGTAATAGACATTAGCAATTGCTATTGTTATCACTTGTTTGTTCATTCAGGTGGTTACAGGGTGCCACCATAAAAGTATATATGGACAAAGCTGGCTCTGTTATCAACTAGCTATAAGGCTTTTTAATGAAATGCATTAATTAGTCCATTCTTTTTGTCCTCTAGTGAGGAGCAGAGAGGGAGGAAGAGCAAAGCCAATAGGAGACCCCAACTGTCAGCCCAGTTTCTCTCCTTCTGCTTCAAGGGACCCGGGCTGGCCCTGTCCCCAGGGTCAGCCCCATTCAAGGCTGAGCCACTGTGTACAAACCTGGGCTTTCTTCCAGGCTTTCCACTGCTGATGTGCAGTTCTGTACTCTTCCCTCTTCTGTTTATAGTCTTCCATGTGCTCTTCTAACAATTCACTTATTTCAGCTTGGATTTCTGCTTCATATGCTTCTTCATCTGCTTTCTGGTCAACCTTTTCCCTTTAAAATAATTCACAGTATGTTGATTATCTCTTGAAATTAAGTAAGAGAGTAAGAATAATAGCAAATACTTATTTTGGGCTTGTTGTTTTAGTTGTTAGGTGCCATCAGTCAGTTCCGACCCAGCTAAATCCTCTTCTAAAAACATTGCACATGTTAACTCATTTAATCCTCAGAACCCTGTGAGGCAGTTACTGTTTACTGCCCCCATTTTACACCCAAGGAGATTGAGGCAAAGAGGAGTTAAACGATTTCCCAAGAACACACAGTTGATGAGTCAGCTGGACTATGAACCAATCTCTTTATCCCTAGGCAACAATGCCACTTTGAGTTAAACGATCCATATGGCATGCTGACACAGTGCCCCTAAGTTCTCAATCAATAGTGGTAGAAGTGTCATTGTAGTTATTGCATTAATCCTTCCAGTCTCTGAGGAACTAGTTCATTATATTGCTACCGGGTCTCTGATACCACTTTTGTGACTTTGGATTGACCGGTTGAGTTTTTCTTTGATGACTTTGCCTACACCCCACTGGGAGGTCAGCCAACCCAAAACAGTGCTTTCTACGGTATGTTCTGTGGGACATTGGTCCTGTGAGATGCCGTACCAAAAGAGGTGCTGTGGCCAAGTCAACACAAGATTAAACACATGTAAAGGTTTTTTTGGGGCACATTTTTTCAGAGCCCTTTATATGCTGACGTGCAGTGAGACCCTCTGGGAGGAGAACGGTCAACATGCCCTGCCCACACCCTGCCCACACCCTGCCCAGAACCTGGAGATGTTGCAATGCATGGTCTTTGCTATTATTTCTCCTAGTGCCATGTGGCCTCCAAGTTCCACACCCCTAAATTTCCTCAGTCCATTTTAGACAAACTTTCTCAGTACCTAGAGCTGACAAATGTTTATTTATGTACACATGCAGCCTGGTGGATCTGACAGTTAACCATTCCCCAAGGCACAAACTCTGACACATCTCTAGGACACTACCAGAGAAATCACTTGGGTATGTAGCGGTACGTGAGATTTATACATAGCAGGGAAATCTGGCTCAAAAATTATTTTGTATCTCTGACACATAGAGAATCAATCACTTTTCTCATTATTATTCAGAGGAATGAATAAACCAGTTGAAATTTGAATAATTTTTTGTAGAAAAATTATGCTATATTATA